ATCTATCAAACACGTTTTAAAGTGTTCATTTAAATGTGTTTTTATTAGATTAGGATAATCTAAATTTTTTTTTCTCCACTTATTACATGCTACCCATTTCCACTTACTCAAAATCACATCTAGATTAGAAGCCTTTTTAGATTTACTGTGTAATATATAATTCACTCACACTGTAGAAATTGATTTTAGAACTGCTCTTCAGATCTCAAATTATCCCTAAAATACTTTAAAAATATACAAAATCTCTTCTAGTTGTGTTAAAATCCTGTGGAATATAATATGTAAACCAGTGCTCCAGGCAATGCCATGCCCACATACGAAGAAAGAAACACTGACAGAAACATTGTGAGATGGATTAAATGCAGTAAAAAAGAGGAAGCGTATTTCCATTTTCTGTTGTAATTACTGCAAGTGTTCATTTACTGACTTGAAGCTGTAGTATTAATGCACAGCTTTTGGACTCTGGACTTAAAAGGACATAAATTATAAATGAATTCAAGCCTTAAAGACTGAATTATTCCATTTGTACTTTTTTTTTTTTTTTTCTCTGCAGAAACCCAGATGTTTTAAGATACAGATTGACGTGACTCCCTGTGTCAGTTCGGATTCATTGCTATAGTACTAGTCCACGACTCTCTGATGTTTAGACAGTTTGTAGTTTTTGATGGCTAGCTGCAAATTCTGAGAGTCCACTCAAGGTGAGAAAAATATACTGTTCTCCCACAGATCTTATAATTCCCTAGTTGTAGATTTTGATGACTGGAGACCTGTCTGAGCTGTGATAAAATCTTTGAGTAAGTTGTATCACTAGATCATCTAGTCAAACATTATGTATTTACCTCTACATGGAGTTTAATAGGTAAAATTTGACTACTGTTTCTTTATTGAGTTTTCAGTAGGAGATGATGAAACCATAACTTTATTTGATAATTCGATCCAGTGGGTGATCCTTAATGCATGTGAACATCTTTTCTGGTAGATTAAAGAGTCCTTTAACATTCAGTATTTTCTCCACATAACATTCTCTTTATGAGTGTAATGATACAATTCTCAGAAATGGTTTTGGTAAGCAAAGCTACTGTCTTACGTGCCTCGTAAAATATTTTATCCAATCCACAAATAGTTTTACTGGTTCTTTCATACAGTATCTCTTTCTTAAGCAGGAAAGTAAAAGTTTATTGTTAAAAAAATACATATAATTTTATGATATCATTCACTTTAATGACACATACAGAAGCTAAATTTTTTCTATACTTCTCTTGCATTCTTTGTTAATACTTGTTTGCATATATCTGGACTTTTCATGAACCTGCATGTGATCTTTTATTGCATGTTTTTGTTAGAGGATTAGCTGAGTATGATGAGGGGTGACTGCACTTCTTCCTTCACAGTTTCCCCAAGTTATTTTTGTTTCCTAGACTTCAAGGTTTCACCCACTGCTAAGTGAAACTTTTGGAGAACTCAGAATAAGCGATGATCTTAAATACCTGCGGTGTACGGATAATGTCACTCTGATCCTGAAAGTATGCAAGACAGAACTGATACTAAGAAAATAGTAAATAAGGAAAGCTGAAAACAAGTATGGCTAAGTTACATACAAATAAAATTGTATCCCTAAAAAACATGGAGACTGTATGGCATTATGGAAAACTATGAGCTTTATGTGTTCAAAGTAAATTCAAGATGGGGTAACTGCGTCTTCTTGCTGCCTTTATGGATGATGACTCCCATTTTTGCTTCCTGGTGTGAGATATGAGGTGGACTTGCTTTTTCCTCTGTATTCTTCCAATGAGGAGAGAATGAGGAGAATTCCCTGTTTTTTTCCAGTATTTCCAAGTTTGAATAAGAACTAGCAAAAGAAGGGGATCTACATTCTCTTTTCTAGTAAGCCTGAAGAAGGTTTAAGGCCTCCCTGTCCAATGTAAGAGGAAGAGGGGAAGCAGAGAATCACTAAGATTTTTACTTATAAAGTAGGTGAAATTCAATTCTGGTATCCCTGGGGTATAAACAAAATGTTGGTATGCATATTTCTGGGATTTTCAGTGAAGATGGTAGGTAAGAAAGGAAGAAACGCTTCTTGGCTTTTATACTTCATAGAGGCAACAGAGAAGAACATAGAGATCTTGGGAGAGATCAAACTGGAAGTCAAGAACTTCAAAACAAGAAGTATGGAATGCAAAGAAGGGTGGCCCCTGTGAGAAGCTACCTAGACAGCTGCACAACTCTTAGATAGAAACTAGCTCATGTCATATACATATATGAGGATTCAGTCTGTAGGCCAAGTAAGGTCAGACTGCCCTGCAGGATCTTATGTAGCTAAATAAATCCTTCCACTCCAGTTAATTCCTTGCAACTCTAGTCATGTAAGTTATAAGCATTGTGGCCTTTCTTCTGCAGTCAACAGAGAAAAGTAGGCAGGGCTGAGGGCAAATGTTTCCTGACCTGAGAATAAGATCATCAGGATGCTGGAAACTACTGGAAAAGACATGAGGAATAGCTATTTGTGACAAATGACAGTGTGTGTAGTGAAGAAATTGCCAATAGTGGTGTGGAGGCTGGCTGGATTTCTTAGGTAGTTAATAGAAAGTTAAGTGAGAAATGGCTGAGTGTTGCACATAGCCAGTGGGGATTATTGAAGATCTCTAGAGGAGAGGAGGCTTGCCAGGCTAGCAGGACATAGATATTAGTTGAGATTAAAGAGGTAATGATGTACTGAATTTGGATTCAGATGTAGCAAAACAGAGACCAAAGAAGAAAAACTAAGGATGGGTTGTGTATGTGGGAAAAGACTGAGACAGAGAAAGGGAGAATGAAGAGTGACCAAAATGAGGGCAAAAAAAAAAAAAGGGGGAAGAAGGGTAAGCTGTTCAGTTTATGAGGTGTGTGTTTGCCAAAGGCATCTACCAGACAGTCCTACTCAAGCTTGCTGCAGCCAGAATAAGAAAGGAAATCAAACCCCTTGATCTGACCATACCAGGAGTCAAACTTCAGTGGCAGGGAAGACTGAACTGGGAGAATACCTTCTGTTTAATTATTTCTGAATGTTTGCAAGCTTTTTACTGATTATCTCCTTCTATAAATGTGGCTGATTTCTGTTTTATTTCATGACTGGAAGTGATCTGCTTCTATCAGGACAGTTATGCATCTATCAATCTCCCATGGTAATATGTTGACAATCTCTGTTTTTAGACCGCTATTACAAGTTTTTTCTCCAAATAGTATGTTCTGTCTGCATATAATGCTTCCATCTAATTCTCATCTACTTACACTTGTTTTGTTGAAATGAAAAGTGTAGCCTTTGCTCTTAGCCATTGCTTATCTTCCTTTTTACAATCTGAATAAAATATGTTTATGCATGCAACATAGTAAATTAAAAAGCCTTTCTTTTGTAGAGTAGTGGTAATATATTTATTAATTTACATAGGTATTCTAATTCTGTTGGGAAAAAACTGTTTTTTTTTTTTTTTCAGTCTTACTAGATCTGTTTCCTTCTGACAACATAAACTTCCAAGAGAAGTATTGTAAAGCAGAGTAACATCTGTTATTTTTCGTGTTCACATAGCCATTTCTTTTTGGAGTTTCCAATATTCTATATTCTTCAGATGCAGGATGGTTTAATAACAATTTCAATCATAAGCTCGTATAGCCCTGCACCCTACCCCCTGCCCCACACTGTCGTGGTGGCTTTTCCCTACTGAGTGACACTGCCCAGCCCTGGGCACATGGTCAATCAAGTCTGGCATGTTACATTTATTACAATGTTTTCCACATAGTGATGGAATGAGTTTGACTGATATAGGATTTCTGAAACCAGTGACCCAGTTGCTGTCATCATGAAACCGAAGGTAGCTTTCCACAAAGCGTTGCAGAGGATTTTGAGGAGTGATGGCAGATGTTAGTTGAGTATAATACAAAATTTCATGCAAAATACTAAAACTTTGAGGTGTTGAATCAGTACAGAGGGGAACTTTGTTTAAGTTTAATCTAGAAGTTACCATGATGAGTTATACAGAAGTCAGTGTCAGAAGTGAAAACTCCTGTTGACTTCTATGTTCAGTCTTCAACATACTTTTCTTCTGTCAGAAATCTACTGTGGTGTTTTTCAGTGAATTATAGGATAATCTGTTTCTTGAAAGCCAGCTGCTGTTACCAGTTAGTGAAAGTATGATCAAGCATTGATATGTATTTTAGAACCACATAAATAAGATATGGAAAGCCTCTGTATTGAATCAATAGTATGATTTTCTGACAAAACTACAGCTGACAGTCTATCAATTTAAAAGATGGAGAAAACCTAGAAATTTAAAATGACCTGAGGTTTCTTAGTGAAAGTACTATTTTATTTATAGATTACTTTGCAATTTTAACTTTTTAGTTTTAGAAGTTAATCCTTCCAAGATGTATGAGAGCACAGGTTATAGCTGCCCTGAGGGAATTCATTAGGGGAATCTTACGTAACCGGCCTTGCATCAAACAGTATGTGGAGTTATCAGTGCAAAGCAGATCGCTTTCAAGAAACAAAGGCCACACATCAAAGTGTAAAATGAATCCTGTGTATTTTCACAGATGTGCTCTGTACTGTGCTGCTACAATGAGTAGCACATACTAGCTTTGTACAGCTACATTTTAATATCTAACTGCTTCCCCAGACTATTCTCTTTTTTTTCTTTACAAATAAATACAAGAATGTTTGTTCTCAAGTTAAGTATTTTAAGTTTTTTTTGTAAATGTAAGGAAGCCATATGACACTCAGTTTGATAGCATTTATGGAAAAGGAAAAAGTAAATTTTATGTTAAAAAAAAAAAACACAAAACAGTGGCTGTGAGCTACTGCTATTTAGTGCTGAAATACTGAATTTATGATAGTTTTGTAAGTATGTCAACTTAGTACTCAATAGGAGTTAAAAAAAAAAAAAAAAAAAAAAAACACCTTAACAAAACAAAACAAACAAAAATTGAAGTGTTAGGAATTTAGCAAAGAAAAGAAAACAACACTGGAGTCACAGTAAGCTTGCATTTCAGAAACATTTTGATTTATTTCTAATCATCTCAGAAAAGATGCTGTAGGATGCATGTGATAAACAGAGATTCTTTTTTCACTCTGTCCTCCAATAATAGGAGGCATAAATGAGTTTATTAGAAGGTGGTTCTTCTCAGGAAGCTGTGAATTTAACGGCATTGAGATGGAGTGGCTGCAAAACGTTTACATCAATTCAGTTCCACAGAGTGGTTCACTAGTAAATGCAAATTTACCTCCTCTGGCTAACAAAATCTAGTCTAAATTGGAAACTGGAGAATACCAGGTCTAATGTAAGGCTTTTCAGGAAGCATATATAGTACTGCTTCATACACAGTGTTGGTGTAGGTGGCTTTTTGTCCTGATCCAGTCCACGTAGTATGATAAAATAGTTTCTTTTATTTGGTATAGATTATAGAATAACAAAAACTTTAAGTAGATTGAAGGAAAATGCAAGTAATGACATAATACTTATAAATTTAACCATTTAATGAGAAGAAAATAAAAATCTGAAGTGATGTTAATTCATCAAAGTTCATTTTTTTAAATAGAGGATTGGTAATTGATATCCTAGATGACTAGATAGAACAGAAAGCTCTTGTCATAAAATGCAAAAGAAAACTTAGAATTCTCTACTGACAGCAGAAAACTTCGTTTTTTCTTTCCCTTTATTTATTTACTTATTTTTAGTAGAATGCCTTAGTATTCCTTTTAAAGAAAAGTGAAAATAGAGGAAGTCTTCTGTTTTGCTTTATGCTTGAATGTCATAAACTTAAGAAGTGGCTCTTCTTTGAACTTGTACTTTTTGTTCCATGAAGCTCTTGTTCCTTTCTGGAGCTACAATCAAAAAGGTGAGGGGGTTTTTCATTTCCCCTCCCCCAGTTCATACTTGTACCTATGAAAGCAAGGAGTGAGAAATTCACATAAGTTTTGTCATCAGTCTCACTGGAAAAATATTTTAGCTGTTAAATCAAATACAATTTTGTGATTTTGTAATAGACCTGTAGGAAAACAAAAAATAGTTACTTCTTCAACTGGGACCATGTTTTCCTTATAATATTAGCTTATACACTGAAATATAATAATTTTAAAGCATCAGTACCGTGAACTAAGTATTTATTGACAGTTTAACAAGAATAACTTGCTTTTGTATAGCGTAGAACTTATTTGGATCCATATCCTTGCCTTAAATATAAAATTTTAAATATCTTTATTGCAAAGAAAACATAGTAAACAAAGAACCTTGTTAGCTCATTCCCTGGAAAGGATAATTTATTTTAGGTGAAGGTTCATTTTTGTCAGCCCAGCGTTATGGAAAGGGTCACATGCCAGATGTTGAACTTTTACACATCTTGGTCACCTGGACAATATCCTTTAAAGCTCATAAAACTCTCATTGAAGAAGCAGGAGATTCTAATTATTCTGTTCAAACTCTAGATCTACATAAAGGGGAGCATTTCAACGAAGCTGTTGGGTTTGTTTGTTTGTTTGCGGTGGCTATATATTTATTTATTTATTTGGTCTTCTATGATATTTTTGTGGGCTTTTTCCTGTTTCAGAAAATACTTTCCAGAGCAAAAGGCAGAGTTGGGGGTCTCCCTGGCAACATCTTTGTACAAGTGTCTTAAGATGGAAAAACATTTTAGCTGCAAATGTGCCAAAAAAGGGAAGGAAGACAGAAGGGATGCATTTTTATTAGTAAATTAGCTATTCCATAATTCTTTCAATTATGATAGGAGATGACTGGAGCCAACCAGGCTGTTACGAGATTAAGTGGAATAAAAATGCTATTTATGGTGTTCCATGTGTAAAAATAATTGTTTTCCTTCATTTTTAATGCTTGTGAGAACTATTCTGAAAAAATGAACTTAATCTTCTCTGTTTCATTGTTGTTATGTTTGCTCTGTACTGATTGGGATGTATCACTGTATGTTGAGATTGATTCTGTTCTTTAAAATAGATGATCAGGCAAAATATTTAAGATTTTAGCATATATACACTCTTTCAATGATACATTCTAGGAATTTAGAATGAAATTTATTTATTTAATATTATTGTATTCAGTTGAGAATTCATATGGAAATCAGTCATATGTATTCTTGCCATAACGTACATTTCATATATTTCACTGAAGATTTAAGAAATAATATGGTAGTGAAATCACGTTAGATTTTTGCATTTGCAAGCATAGTACGATACTGAATGGTTGTTAAGTACACAATACATTAATGTTATTTTTAGCATAAGTACTTTTCACTGAAGTCCACTTCAATAAAATTTCAAAGAATGATTGTAATGAGTAATATCTGCTTTTGCATTTATGTGCTAATCTGCAGCGTTGTAGGTTGTCATAACTGGTAAGCTGGATGGTTGCTGTGACTAATAAAGTTCTGTTCTGTATTAAAAACCATCAAAGCATGACATCTCTATTATGTCAGAGGTCAGTAGAGGCCTACTAATGAAAAAAAAAAAATCACTAAAATGAAAAATTAGAATGCATTTGGATTGGTAATCTTATGCTTTGACATATTTATGCTTATTCCCTGATTTATTATTCACTAAATAAATCACTTTTCATCCTATGTCAACTATAACCTCTGTGTGTGTCCTGTGGGTAATTTACTTTCTTATGTAGGGCACACATGTGCTATTTTCTTCATTATCAGCAGTGACCTCTTTCAGTGTATTCCAGTTATTTTACCTAAAGTTAGCCCTATGTTTTGACATGTAGACTTCTAAAATGAAACTTAGAAACACAGTGTTTGTCTAGTGAGTAAGAAATAGAATAGAACAGTTGAGTTAGAAGGGATGTTCAAAGTACATCTAGTCCATCTGACTGACCTATTCAAGGCTAACCAAAAGTTAAAGCACATTAATCAGAGCGTTGTCCAAATGCTTCTTGAAAACTTGAAGGTATGGGGCATCAATGTGTTTGACAACTTTCTTGGTAAAGGCATTTTTACTAGTGTTTAATCTTAAAGTTAGGGACTTTTAAATATCATGTGATCTACAGATGATAAAACAGTTCCTCTGGATGCATTGTCATTGAATGTTTACCAACATTTTTTCCAATCTTGACCTGTGCTCCATTTAATTTCCAGCTAAGAACTTTAAGTCTTTGGAAAGTAAAGCTGTGTTTTTATTAATCAGAAAATATCAGGGTACATGCCGTGTTCTGGAGTTGACTTTTTTAATTGTCCAAACAGCCCTTGGCTTGTTTATGAGTCATTTAGCACAATACCAAAAGCTTCCTCTGTAGAGTTCTGCAGTCAGAATGGCTCGAGAACATCTGTTGTTGGCAGTCTGCATGCTGTTTCAAAGTGGATGTTGGTCATTCCATGAAGATTGTCTTCAGTGACAAAAGATAGTTACAGCTGTATTTAATTTATTGGTAAAACGTGAAGCTTAAGTATATTAGGTGTCACTAGAAATTACTCTTATATCACTTCATTCAGTCTGTCCATAGTCTGCTTTTAATAAAACACTATTACAGCAGCACATAATTAAAATTCTTGTAACATTTAGCTACTAGCATTTGGGATTTTCTTTTGTTTTTTCTCCTCTTTTGAATGACAAGAGTTTTCAAGTTATCTCCTAATGTTGTGCTAAACAGTTCCTTCTTCTTGCTTGTGATATGTAAAGCAAAAATCTTTAAGTGGAATTTTTATCAGAAGCTGCATCTGATTAGCAATTGTGTTTATGTGAATTTCAGATTAGATCTTTTCTGCATTGCCTTTCTCAGTAGACTCACCGTGGTGGAGATTGACTGCGGTGCTGAAATGCTCTTGGTTTAATCTTCCCAGTAAGAAACAAATGATGAAACTGCTACCAAGCAACATCTTGATCAGTTGAATAAGTTTCCTAGACTTTGCAAAAGAATGTGCTAAGCAAACAAGAAGGGTTCACAGAACCGTTTAATCGCAAACTACTTGGAGAGCTGTTCTTTGTTGTTTGGAGGGATCATTGCTGAAGTATAGTGGTCATATACTTTGTATTTCATAAAGGCTTTTTAAGAAGGTGAGGCTGACATTGTTCAGCAATAGTATGTGAAATAGCATGTGATAAATGCCCAGAGTTTCAGTAAGTTCAGTGGAATTCTCCTGTCATTCATTCCTAACATGAAAGCCATTCACTCTTAAACTAAATTGTAGTGACGGAGTAGTTAATTAGTAAAGGCTACATTCTATCTTCTTCTGGAGTGCACAACCAGTCAGAAGTGAGAAAAGCAGAGGAGCAATTGATTGTTTGGCAAGTTTTTGTAAGTTCAATATTTTTCCCTAATAAATAATACTTAAGTTATGGTTTAATTATTTTTCAGTAATTAGGCTATGGTGGTTCATGAATGTATAGGATACCTAGAATCTATGTACTAATAATTTATGCTGCAGTCTTTCCCAAAGAATTAGAAAAAATAAAAAACTTGCATTGCACTGTAAGCGTAGAAAAACAAGCATGCAAAGACATTCCATTGCCACTACAGTATGTCTAAAGAGAAAGCATGTGGCAGTGTGTAGTGAGTCTCTTAAACTTTACCATAAATAAGATCTAAGTGCTGCTTTTGCACATATTCTGTCTTCTATTGAACTTGGTTAAAGCACTTAAAATGGCTGAAGTAGAATGAAGTTACACATTTTACTGAAAATCAAAGAGTATGGTCCCTGAAATTCTCCCCCAGAGTAAGTAAAAGGGATAGAACTGAAAATATTTGTACTCATATGAGCTAATGGTAATAGTTTCTCTGGGTGTATAATAATAATAGCATATACTTCAGTTATTATTGAAGATAACTATATGGTTTTATAGCATATGAGACTGATGATTTAGCTTTTATGTTTGTTAGTTTTGTAAACAAATTCTTGTCGTAATTGTGGCATCTATACTTTGTATGTTTTATTCTATTTTATATATTATTTATTCTATGTAATTTGCAATGACTAGTCAAATTTGAAGCATAATACTCAGAAAATATTATGTTTATAAGACAATGTTTAAACCCACAAGTTGATCCTAATTATTTCACCTGAATTGACTATAGGCAAAGAGGTT